AAGACGGTGCACAGCACCTCGCTGACATTCAGAAATAAGCCCCGCATCTTAGGTGGCATATGCTTTGCTGGGGATCTTTCCAGCCATGGTCTCCTTTGTGACCAGCAAGTAAGTTCCTAGCAGTGTAGCCACAGATTATGTTAAATTTTTAACAACAGTATCACAAGCCAACTCATAACAAAATTATTCTGAAGTAAACTCTCTTCTTTCCACTAGGCTGTTACTAAGCTGAACATTCTCCTATCTGGCAATTGTTCAGCTGGTCAGTTGTAAAAACTGTCTCTTTGTGTACTCTATTGCATTGTACACCAGTGGAAACAAAAGAATACATGTATGAGGAGGCTCTTTCATATAATATATGTGAATAAATGATTTATAAATTTAACTTTAAAAATACCAAGATAACTTTATGACAAGGATAAAAAGTCTAAGACCGTGACAGGTGACTCTGTGACCTAAACTATAACCAATGCTTTCGCATATATATTTTATATTTATTTTTCTTGTTTATGTTTAATATTTATTTTCTTGTTTATGCTTAACAATGCACTTGCTTTATTTTAGATAGAAACCTTTTTCTTGATCCTATTGCATTCCCAAATTACTCTTCATGACTTTATGGAATAAAAAAATCACAGTTTATCATATCTAATTTTAAGGCTGCTATAGTTGAGACATTGTGTCCAATTGAGAAGTTTAGAAATTTAAGGAAGTGACTCAGCAAGAGGGCCAGGGCCTCACTTTGTAAAAATCCTCCTGTGGAAGAGGACAAGGAGATGGTGTGAGTGCGACACCTTCCCTGGGGCCCAGAATCCTGCTCACAATGTAAGGGCAGAAAAGAGTCTCACTTTCTCCCTCTGCTCTTGCTGCTCTTGCTGTCTTCTGCTAACTTGAGCTGCTGCCCGCATGCCACCCCGCCTTGGAGCCTGCAGAGCTTGGACTAAAACCTTCACTAACTGTGAGCTACATAAACCTTTCCTTCCTTAATTTTGGATGTTGGGTATTTTGTCCCAGCAATAAAAGAAAAGTATCCAAGACAGTGGCTTTTCTCTATATGCACAATCATCTTTTTGATTAATCCATTTAACCCAAGATTGAAATTAGAGGGTGTTATAGCTTCTTAATATAAATTTTACTTTTGAGTAGTTTTGAGGAAGTTGGAGCAAGAAAGTCGCAAATACAAATTATGCTGTTAAAAAGTAAATCATAATTAAATTAAAAATGATTAAAATCATCTTCCAACTCATACATAAACTGCTAATCAAAGGTCATTTCTCAGTAACTATTCAAGCGATTTTTGAATTTTGCTTGTTTATCATAAGATGTGGGGGCTAGGGAGATGGCTTGGTAGAATAAGCACTTCCCTGGCAAGTGCAAGGGACTGAGTTCAATCCCTGTTTCTGTGAAAAAAAAAAAAAAGGAAAGAAGAAATGTTTGGACAGATGCTGTAAAATGGAATTAGGGATGTAGAAAGAAGTTCTTAGGCATATGTAATAATTAACATCTTTAGAGAAAATGTATTGTATGATAAGATGTTGCATCAGTCACAAAGTCTTTCTTGATCGAATTTTATGAGGTAAGAATTACCCTACCCTGTAAATCTCAAACATTAATGTCTTTCTTCAAACCCACAGCTGTAATTTCGGCTCTGTGAAGTAGAAATGACATTCACAGAAGTACAGCAAGAGTTTACCAGGATTACGTCTAGGAGGCAGATGCTGCTGTGTCAGCAGCACACCTTAAGCTAGGGTCTCATATTATTGGCAGTGACATGAAGCAGTTCAAAAGTTGTACTAAGCTAGCAAGGAAAGGCAGCGTAATGTCATAGAAAATAGGCATTATTTTGTAAAGAACAAATCACAGAAGATTAATGCAATAATGTTCAAAGAAAGAGTTTCAGATCTTAAAGATGATGTGGAAACACAGCAAACAGGGCAAACCAGATTTTCTGAGAAGTTTGCAGAGGCAGGGAAGCTACAAGAAGGGTTTCACACCACTAGGATAACCTTAGGCGAATGACAACTTCAGTCTTCCGAGAGCTTTTCATTCACAAAAGCAGTAAATAATCCGAAGTCTGAATTTCTTAAACTGTTTGAGAACTGCGGCTTATAGCAAGTCAGCAAGATTCCTCATCCTCTACATAAGCCTTTTCTGCCTGGCTCCATGCTTGCCCCAGTGCTCTGAAAACAAGTATTCACACTCACCCAGTGTTGGAACACAAAGCGCTGTCTAGTTTAGCCCAGTGAGTACCTGACTTTCTTCTTTTCGACTCTCTAAAATAAGGTGGGAAAATTACACACAAACAAACTACCAGTTGTGCCAAAATACACATATGTGCAAGGTTATGACCGAAGAATTAATTTATGGTGAAGATCATAGGAACTTTTTGACCAGCAGCATAAAAATATGCTATGTTCCTCTGGGCGTCATCCACTACCTGCACACACTCTTCCTCTTACTTCTACCTTATTATCCCATACAGCAAAGTGACTGCAAATGTTTCCCAGGGTAAGAAGTACTCTTTATAGGACTGACGTGACTTTGGAGGTCGGCCACAGCCAGGCAGGCTTCTGACATGGTAGTTCATCAGCGCCGGAAGCACTTTTGTAGCGTGTGTCTTCTCTGGTGCAAGCAGCCTTCTAAACAAGTGATTGGGAAAACGTTTGCAAACTGTTATGGAAACATTAAGAGAAAGCTAATAGCATGCCATAAATATTTTTAATTTAGGAATTAGCACCACAAAAAGCAGTAAATGGCTTAGGAGCCCAAAACCTGCTGGCTATAGGTGTCAATGACATTCAGTACTTAAGCAGATGCAGTAGTATTCTGATATAATATTTCTGTCAGATCCTGGCAGTGGCTCTGACTTGAACGCAATTACTGATAAAGAATTTAGCCTCAACTATTTAGAAAAGTGGCTTTATTGAATTTACAAGCAAGGCCCTGCAATTTTCCATTTCCTTAGCAAGATATTAAATCAACCAAGCTAAGCATATCAACATGGCTATAATTTACATGATGTGACATGACAGTTAAGATGTACTGTAGTAATTTCTGAGCACTTGCAGTATGCTCATAGTATCAAAAATTTATGTGGTTCAGTTATTACAGCAAATTGTTTCATTCATATTGAGACACTGTCAGTAAACCACCAAGGGCTTCCACATTACATTAAAAAATGGCTTCCATATTCAAACAATTTGCACACCCTGTTACTGCTATTTCACTCACTAAATGGAAAGTGGAGGACCGGGAAGCACAGCTGTTAGACATGAAAGTGATCTGTAGCGGAGTGTGGCGTTCTTCCCTGTGGGTGGGGATGAGATGATAAGACACATTCCAGCCAGGGCAGGGGAAGTGATGTCCAGGAGCCAACGAGGACAACTTGAGTGTCCAGATTCTTGGATCCAAGACCATGTAATGCCTCATTTGCTTGCTTCCCTTCTGTCAGACTGATTTTCAGCCAACACAAAGGAAAAGCATATGACCAAAGAAGAAGTGGTGGAAAATATGGCCATTTTTATGAACATCTATCTCCAAATAAATTTAGCATTATATAAAATAAAATTTTAAAAACTCTTCTAAATTTTGACCCAAATCTCTTCATAGAACTTCTGTGAAGGGTGCAAGGGGGAAAAAAGACCCTGACTGTTTATTTTTTAAGATTTTTCTTAGCAATTTTAAGCACTAGAAATTCAAGCCATATGTCCCATTTTATTCTTGTTGGGAATATAGGAGGCTCCTAAATAGAATAGGATAAAATGACTTCTTGTTTTAAAGGGCCTTGCAAATAAAAGTTTAATTAGATTTTTATTGCAGCTATTGAATTTTATGCAACATATGCTGTCTCTTTTAAAATACATGTTTATTGAAAACCTGTTTTGTTCACTTACACATTTTTAAATAGCATTTAGAAGCCTGTTAAAAATAAGAACCTGTCCATGAGTTAAATTTTTTCAACCAATTAAAGCTACCAATTCCTATTTACTGAGAAACATATAATACTAAGTTTTTTTATTTCAATATTCACATACAAGATCCAATAGCTATGAATATATTTTATTTGTTTAATCAATAAGTATTTCTTAAAAAATAACATGGCATTCTAACTTTGAATAGCATCAGCTCACTGAGAGATGTTTTACATGGGAGATTCTAGTGTAATAAGCTAATTTTAGCTATCAACTAACACGATACAAATTTTCATCCAACAGCCAAGTACTTCAGAATTAAGACACAATATAATTTGCAAAAAGTTATTACGGAAAATAAAATTTGAACTCCATGCCATTGATCTAGAGAGAGACAATCCACAGCAGGAAAACAAAGCCAGACTGCATCTCTGAGGCTCCTTCCTCTGTTTATCTGTGTGTGTGTGTGTGTGTGTGTGTGTGTGTGTGTGTGTGCGTGTGTGTGTGTGCACAGGTGAGTGGGCTTTAAAACAAACACGTGCTTGCAGTCCGGTTCACCCAGGGTCGCTCTCTGTCTGAACTACAGGAAATGTGTTGCTCACGCACGCCTCATAGCAAGCTTAAACTATGTAGGATAGAAATTTGTTTTTCTAATTAATATTCATACCAGGTAGAAGAAAAAGTATCTGTTTTGCATGTCAATCTTGAAATGAATTAGAAACAGATGAGAAAGACTTCAGAATTTCATTAATGGCCTACTTCACAAAACATCTATTTTCCCACAAACATCATTTTCCCAATACCTATAAGATATTCTACAAAATACCTTAGGCTTTTAATTCATCCATGAAAAGCTTAACTGGAGCTAAAATTTGTATTAAAAATTAGGGAGGCAGCACACTAATGTCCTCTACGCAGACTTCACTCATGTGACTGGGAGAAAGCTCGGACTTGAAGTCTTTTAGCTGTTTCTGACAATCCACTACGGTAGAAGTTAGTTGCGTATTTCTTTAAAGAAATGCGGAGTGAAGCGCACTCTCCTTGAGAGTGCAGCAAGCAGACCTTCATGCACACGCCTTATTGACTTACCTTGTTGCCCAGGTAGGGGGCTGGCGCGCTCCAGTAGTAGCTGTCTGGCAGGGTCTTCCGGGCCTCGGCATTGCTGATGCTGACCTGGTAGGGCGATCCAGAGTTGTCCTGGTGGGGGGCCACTCGGATACTGCTGGAGATGTCAGTCAAATACCAGCCTCTCATGTCACGTATCTTACAGAAGACAATAATCGTGTAAAACCACCATCTTCTCTTTCATATTGCTTGCATTTTATTGACAAGCCTATCAGCGCTTTACTATGAATACCATTAAACTGATTTCACGTGCTCAGAGAGGCTCCCAGTGCCCATTTCATTCTTCCTCGGATTTCTGCTTATTTGAATGGTGCTTTTAGAACCTCTACTTTTTAAAATTTGTGATTACTGGCACTGCTTTTATTTAAATATAAATTCATTCAGAGTTACACAACCATTAGAACATTATGCAGTATACCAAATAACTGGACTTAGACTTTCATATTTTTATGCCAGTTGAAATTTCTTGTTGCTAAAGAACATAAACTATTTCAAAAGGGTTGCATATATATTTTTAAGATAGAAGAAGAAAAGAAAAAATATGCTAGTACTTGCAAGTTGGCTTTTCATTTAGTATTTCTTCCTCTCCATTTTTTTTTTCTACAGTGTCGACATTGAGGATTAAGGTCATTTGAATCCATCAACCTGTTGCTATGACAACACCTACACTATTGTACGTGCCTTCCCATGCATTCAGAAGTATTCTGGGAACTCATGGCCTAGCTTCCTGGCCCAGAAAAGCAAGGAGCCCTAAAGCAGAAATGAAGGAGTGCATGAGGATTCATTTTTCCATTGTTTCCAGCTAGGGACAGAGAGACAGCTACACTTTGAGTTTAGGTACTGTTTACTGACTTTCAGGCTGTCGGCTACCTGGGTCTTATACACATGTGTGAACTGCTTGGTGCTGGGACAGCAAGGGCAATTGGCCACAATGTGAGGGTGAAAAAAGTTTCGGAAAATCTCTGCATGTAGATATTATTTGATTTTTCTTGTTTCAAAGCTGTGGAATCACTAAAACTGCTTTGGTCAAAAAGAAAAAAAAAATAGAGAACTGGTATGAACTCATTAGTTTCAAGGACAACAGGAAACAAATTCCTTCCCTTCCTCTATTTCCAACCTCAAACTTCAGGGGTCTAAGACAGTGGAATGTGGTAAGCACCAGGCTTGAATGTCTCCGGCTTTGCTCCTGCACTGGCTGCCAAACTCGGCTGTATCAGTGGCCGACAGGAGGCAGGGTGGGCTCTACAGAATGCAGAAATTTGGAACTAAATGATCATCTCTTGTTGATTCCTTAAAGTCTGCTTTGATAACACACTTGATAATGTGTATATCATATGTGTAAACTCATATCTATATGTGACAGCATCTCAGAAACTACTCATAATATTCCAAATGACAGAATGCAATGTAAGTTTTACAAATATAATAGCTATTTTGTATATTATTTAGAGAACTGATGAATGATAAAATAAAGAAGTAAACCGGATATGGTTTATTAAAACAGAAGTTATTGAAAAGACAAGTCTATTTCAATCTACTGCTTAAAAATCCACCAGTGATCCTCTACCAAGACTATGAAGGTCCGGTTTTCCCGTAAATTCTCTTAGAGAAACTGCTGTCTGTAGGAGAGGCCATGGGCAGTGTGGTAGGCGGCAGGGGCGGAAGGGTGAACATAGCATGTTAGAAGGAGACAGCCCAGTTACTGCCAGGTAGATTTCAGCCTTGTCCAACTTATAGCCTGCCATTTTGTCCTCTGAGTTTTTGTATTTTTTGAGTAAAGAGAAATTATCTTGGGCTACATATAAAATATATTGTACTTAATACACATGCATATGTGCAACAAAGCTATCTTTATATTTGTAGTTTTTATTATAATATTAAAAGAGATGATAAGGAAAGGAACACAAAATGAAAAAAGAAAAAAAAGACAATGATAGAAGAAATAGGGAGAAAGATAGTAAGAAGGAAGGAAAAAGAAAGAAAAGAAATAGAAAAAAGAAAGAAAAATGATGCCGAGTTGGTCATAACTGGCTTAAGTAATAATTTTTAAAACGTTAAATCAACTAAAAGTGAAGGTATTATCCAACATTATTGTTCTTTTTAATAGCAAAAAATCCCAGAAAACATTAAATAATAACAAAAAACTGATGAGTAATATATACTATATATAATAATGACAAAGGAATTTTCCTAAACCATATACAAACATGCAAATGAATAGAAAATATAATTTTTATATTATGATATTATATTTTCTCTATTATACTGTCTTCTGGAAATTCAAATAAATTCCACTGTTGTTTTACGTAGTGATGACGGATATTGAAACCCATTCAAGCTTGGAGAGGAGACACAGCAATAGTGTTTGAAGGCACCTGTATCACTTCTTCTCGATAAATTTAAGTAGGTGCTCTCTACGATATACTTTAAACTATCTTACAAAGAAGAAAAGCAAACACAGAGAAGGTGGCGGAGCAGCGCCGAGGATGACCTGACGTGCTTACGTTGCCGTAGGTCCAGTAGGAGCTCTGACATCTGTTTGAAATACCAGAGCAGAAGCACTCATCGCAGCCTCTAGGGTTGTCCTCCTGCAGATTGAAGAAGCCGGACTTGCAGCGGCTGCAGTCTCCTCCTTCAACGTTCTCCTGTAAAGAGAGAGGGCAGGACTGAGAGAGGCCCTGGCACAAGAATGGAGCCACCCTCCGTTAGGGGGCAGCTCTGCCACAGCCTCCACACCTCTCTGCTTTGCAAGGTGATTTGCAAGCTGGGGTCTGGTGGTGTGACAAGGCAGGGTCGGTCTCTCGTCTGGGTCCCCTTTGCTCTGCTTTCCCACCCTCCGTGAGGCCTGCAGCTCCCCCTCTGCAATGCCCTCTGCCAGGATATCCTGCTTGCAGCCAGCATGGTACAGTCTGAAATCTCCTCACACTGAGCCCACATGAACCCTCTTCTCTTGTCCCAGCAGTGCTGGATGCGACATCTCAATGACGAGGAAGAGCCGCAGGCACCTTCACAATTAGGAGTCTGTAAAGAAAATGCTAACTGCATAGTCTTCATGTTATCCTCTCAGGCAGATGAAAGTGTAGTATCATTTTTAAACATTTGCACACAATCTTCTTCTAAAGCTAGATCCTTTCTAACCAAATTGAGGGGAAAACTTACTTGATCCTAATCTAATGTTCTGAGAGTTATGATTTTGAGCTTCACGTATATTAAACTTGTAGAATAACTTCCATGATAAAATGCAAGAGAATTGCAGTGTGACCACCAAGGGGCCCGTTGTGCGCACCTCTTCATTACTGAGCAACTTCATCTTATATGCGGTAACGATTCATGCGAATTACAACACTGTTAAACACTTTTCATAATACATATTAAAAATGCATACACTTGAGCCAGACATACGACCTTGACATGAAAATGAACAAATTCAGCATTTCTCCGATCTGACTAAGTAGAACAGGAGGACAGTTTGCCCTGGTTTATTTATTTATTTATTCATTTATTTTTATGTAGTTTCTACAGGGTCTTACTGTGCAGCTCACACTTGTAGCTCACACTTGTAGTGGTCCTCCTGTCTCAGCCTCCTCAGCCCTGGGATTACAGTCAGACACCATCACATCTGGATTCTGGCTGAGTGCACCCAGAAGCAGGGCTGGTGCAGCAAGAGGTGCTGGGGATCGAACCCTGGTCCCTGCACTTTCCTAAGCAGGTGCTTAGTCCAATGAGCTATTTTTTTTAATATATTTTATTTTTAGGGAGGGATCTATAGGGTGTTCAGGGTCTCACTACTAGATCAGACTCATAGTGATCCACCTGTTTACAGCCTCCCCAGATATGGGATTACAGGTGTGCCACCATGCCCGAGTCTGGCACAGCAGGCCCAGGGATCGAACTCCCAGCCCTTGTGCCTGCTTGTAGGGGCTTTAATCTGATGAGCTATTTGGCCAGCCCTTCCACTGAGCTATCATGCCAACCCTTACCCTGTTTAAGTTTTAACAGGACTTCCATTGCCACATTGGTCAAGACAAGCAGATAGAAACATTTTGGGAAAAATTGGGCCCTGCTCACTCGCTGCTCTGCCCTGTGATCTCCTTAACCCCAAGCTCAGTACACTGAGCCCTGCATTCATGTGAACCTACAGCGTGGCCTCATCTCAGTGACAACCCACTGCGCAGCATGATGCTACGAAGTTTGCACTCTCGCAACTCAAGAGTCCTTAATGTTGGCTGGATCTGCTAGAGGAGGCACCTGCTTTCCAGAAAACAGATTTTCAATGTCATTGAACATGCATTTATTCCATGTTTCCTGTCTTGCTTGAATTCCCTTTCCTACTTCAATTATAAATCTTTCCTTTTCTTGGAGAAAGCCTTCCCATCACCCGTCTTGTACAGCTCCCAAACCCTTCTGCATGCTGGAGACTGAAAGCAGGGCCATCTCACTGAGCTCCATCCTGGCACATTTTAATTTTCATCTTGAGACAAGGTTTCACTAAGTTACCTGGATGAGACTCCAGCTTGTGATTCGTCTGCCTCAGCCACCCAAGTAATGGGATTCTAAGAGCGCACTGTGCCTTATACAAGGCTTTATTACAACCACTAAACTGGCTAGCTAAGTTTTAGAAGATGATTCTCTTCCATTTTATGGCATACTCTAACAAGACATAGAAATCCTACTTACGTATCATTATAGTTGCAGAAGTTAACAAGGTTCCTAGTACAACGCAGAGCATTACATTCATAAAAGTTTATTATCTCTAAATGAGTCTCTTGATGATAGGATTCTTATGCATATCATAGTGTTCTGCACACATTAGATGCTTAGTAAAAATGATTTTATTAAGCAAGGATTGGGAAGAAAATAGGTTTGATAAAATCTGAGAACATTTAAGTGAATGTAGAAAAAAATAAAAAAATTGTAAGAGTAAACAGAGGTTCTTAGAACTGAGGGAACTTATTTAAAGTTAACTTTTTGATTTTTAATTTGTATGACCCATTGTCATTGTGAGGGACGTGCTAAGAGTTTCTTTTGTCCTGTTTTATGTGTTAAGAATTAGAATCCTGACATGTACACAAATTAGAATTCTGCCACTAACATTCTTGCCAGGTTTAATTTTTAATGTTGATTTGAGATGAATTCAAATAATAGGTATCAGCAAGACAAAACACATTTTAAATGTGTAAGGGAGAAAGAAAGTCCTAAAGCACTAAAAATGAGAACATTCTGGAAGGGACAGGCAGGCAGGGAAGACGGAACCCACTTGTAACTCTGGTTAAGCCTGTCCCCCGGAAAGCACTGTGCCACTGTCCCGGACACTATGTTCTGTGCTTGTGCTGATATACTTTTCATTTACTATAATTTGAAAGAAAATAATACCACTTTTCTGAGATTCAGACTGAGTTCAACAATTAGAAAATTTTAGACATTAGCCACATGTCATTTAGCTACCTTTTAATCTGGTAATATTACCCTGAAAATTGTAATTAAATAATTGCATGTTCAGTTTAACTAACCTAAAGGAACACATTAGGGGAAGATTTCTAGATACTCTAAAGATGAGTGGGCCAAGGTCTCTGTCTTTAAAAGCCAAAAGTTATCTGGGTTAAAAAGAAATGCACTCAAAATTGACTATAGTGCAAGGTGAAACAGGGTAATTGTATCTTAGAAGAAAATTAAGTTATAAGAACATAAGAAAGTGCTAATTCTTGCTGTAGAGACTTCAGGAGGCTTTATAGCAGTAGAAGGATTTCACAGACACTTTGAAGCATGGTTTAGAAATTCAATTTGTTGGCAGAGATAGGATGACAGGCCATGCTGCCAAACATATTTGGGACAAGAATTAATAGGAAAAAAGGAAAGGTTCATCTAATATTTATTCTTTCATATTAGCTCACTGGATACTTCTTACCTGCTGGTAGCATTACTTGATACTAGTTACCTAGAACCTGACTCTGTTATAATAGGTATTCAAGGCTGTGTGTTAAGAGACAGGAATCTTATCCCCTAAGAACTGGTAAATTGTTCATAGATGTTTAGAAGGAAAGAAATTAACAGATCTGTCTTCTAACTTCAATTAACAGGAATAGGTAAAATGACTATGGAATGTCAGAGAATGGACCAAAAAAAATTCATTTCTGCATAATTCAGTATGGTTTACTCAACAGATTTGTGGTGCTTAAATCCTGAATACTATAACTAATATGGTATAGGGAGACAAGAAATAAACCCTTAGAATATTTTGCCTGGTATAACTGTCTTTGTATACCTGAAACATGTGGTCACATCTGATACTTTATGCGAACACTGTCTTAAATGCCTTCCTTTAACAATTGAAGGTGTGGGACCCTGTGACATCCATCAGAACTCTGGGGTACTGGAGACTGAGAAGTTAAGGATTGTCCATGGGCTTTCCACATCTGTATAGCAGCTTCAGTGGGACCCTGGACACACACTGAGGGTGAGCATCCCAGGAGAACAATGCTTCATCTGTGGGGTCACGGCTGTGGGGAAGAGTTATGGCCCTACATGCATTCACTGAAAGAGAATGCTGGGGAGGGTGCTGGGGAGGCTGGTGGGGAGGATGGTGAGGAGAACGATAGGAAGATGGTGGGGAGGGTGCTGGGGAGGCTGGTGGGGAGGATGGTGAGGAGAATGATAGGAAGATGGTGGGGAGGGTGGTGGGGAG